AGAGGGGGAGGGAGAGGTAGACCGGTCTCAGGCAGATCCACAGTGAGCACAGAGCCTGACACAGGCTCTCAGGACCCTGAGATCATGACCTGATCCAAAACCCAGAGTCAGATGCTCAAGCAGCTGAGTCACCCAGGGGCCCCCAGCCCCCAGGTGCTTCACTTTTATCAGTTACTTAATTCTTACAACCTTTGAGGTAAGTATGATTGTCCTCTCTTCCAGCTGAGAATTTAACAAAACAAAGAGGTTAAACAGAAAGCGTTGTCCCATGCTGTGATTCAGGGAAAGACCATCCCTGTACCCACTGCCGTATGTTAATAAGTTAAAAGCCAAATTTGAAAGTTAGAAAACTGATGGACTTAAGGTGTGGTGATAAGACTGATCTTTCCTGAGCAGAATTCTGGCAGCATAGTTATCTGTGGACCTGGGATGCTCTGTACTTGGCGCTGGTTTTCTCGGATGGCCAGTCCTCCACTCTCGTTCTCATAAGCAGTCATCTGTCTGGATCCGGCCTGCCATGGCATATCCTTGCCTTCCCTTTGGAAATTCCCTCGCTTTCCCTCTCTCCCATTCTGCTAATCTATTCTCAATGATGTGATGATTAAAAAAAAAAAAGAAAAACTCTGATTTGTAGCATTTGCCGATTTCAGTGGTGTAAATACTGCTATTATTGATTTGAGGCTGGCAGTGCCACATCACTGAATGCAGGGCTGGTCAGGGGTGTGTGCTGGGGAGAATGTGCACACCATCGCTGTAATTTCAGTCAGAGAAAATAGATGTAAACATCGAGATTATAGGTACCAGAAAAGTGTGATAAAATAATTAAAAAGTGAGGAGTTTTAAGTATTTATTAATCTGTTTTTTATATAATTTAATTCTGCGCTTAGTTAATTTTTTAATAATGGCTGTGTTCAACAAGTGGCTTGCAGAATTCCTAAAAATATAGCGATGGGCTCTCACGAGCCTGTACAAGCCATCTCCAGCTTACCACGGCAGTTACCTTGCTGCTGATGGCGTCCACCGCCAGAAACCTTATGGCTGGCACTGTGTTACCATCTGAGACATCAGTGCTGGCTCTTCTTTGACCACTCCTCCCACAGAACTTCCTTACTGTCTCATTCCCCTCAACTTCAGCTAACATCTTCCCTGTTTCCAAGGCCTTGTTCCTTTCCCACACTGTAATTCACTTTCTCCCTTCGCTCTGATGCTTTTCCCTTGCCCATTCCTTTTTTCCCTGATCAAGATACTGTCACTGGTTTAAGGAAGACCTCAGGCATAACTCATATCTTGGGGCATGGAGAGTCTGTCGGCAAGATGTTGGGTCTCACGTGGAGACAGAATCCTTGTTCTACAAAAGGAAGATCTGTTCTTTGAATTCCAGGTTAGAAACCTGAGTGGGGAAAAAATTCTGTTTTTGTCATTAATAAATATGTGAAAGTGATTATAGCACCATTAATATATATATCTACTATATACATGAGTTAAAGATGGGGAGAATTGGGACCACAGCTGCCATTTAAAATTTTGTTTTTCTGATGGGCATTAAGGAGAGCATGTGATGTGATGTGATGAGCACTGGGTGTTACACGCAACTAGTGAACATTACATTGAACATTACATCAAAAACTAATGAGGATGTACTATATATTGGTTAACTGAATTTAAATAAAAATAAAATTTAAAGAACAAATACAATTCTGGTTTTGGGGGGGGCAAGTAAGTTACTTATTGTGGCGTTTAGGGCTACAGTGCATTCATATCTTGGGGATCACCTATATCTACAAAATAGGGCCATTATAAATTGTCATCTGTCAGCAAAAATAATCAGGACTCTGACCATCCTGTGAGGTTCAAGGATATGTTTCTTCTGTTTACTGGAGAAGTGGAGATACAGATGCTTCTCTTCCTGGGGCTTTAATCAAGAATGTCCGGAAAATTGCCCTTGTTAATAAGTTCATCTGTTGTCCTTTTAGATGTATGACAGACTTACTAACTGGGCAGCCAGATTGACCTATGTGTTCATTCCATGGGGTGTGTCCTTCCCACGAGCAGGGAAATCATGTACCAGAATATTCCTCAGGGAAGGTGTGGTTCCAGCAATCACCTCAACAAAAATTCTTGCGTAGATCTGTTTTTCAGTCACCCCTGCTCTAGCTTAGTCTTGTGAGTCTGTCTGCACGGCCTCTCGGTACCCCATACTGGTGTGGGGACACAGGGGTCTTGTAGCTGATATGCGGTGAGAGTGTGGATCGTTTGCTCCCAGGGACTTGAGAGTGCAGAGGGCACTCCTTCAGGGAGAACAGGTACTCTCTCATGCCAGGTGCCTTTTTAATCTGAATTTCAAGTAGTTTTGAGGTGAGTGAGGCTTCTGTGTTCCCATCTATCTAGTATTTTGGGTAGTTTGACTTAACATTAAAAAAACTATTGAAGCTTTGTGAGCAGTTTAAAGCTTATTTACTTTTGTCTTGGGAGTGAAGCAAGAAGTTGACGTCGAACGCTTTGTTGAAAGGATTTAAACTGTCCCATAACCCCCTCTTCTGCCCTCAGTTAAAAGAAGGTCCCAGATACCACTTAATATCTTGGGCACAGAGTCTTCTAGCAAGATACTGGTTCTCACATCTTCAGAGGAAATCCCTGATCTTGAGAAAGGAAACATAGTCTTAGAATTCCTTTTTTTTCCCCCCTGTAGAAGAAGTCCACACTGTTAGTAATGCAGGCTGACAGGGCACACGGTCTCAGTGGGAACTGCGCAGCTCCGCTGTGGCTCATTATAGTGCGAAAGGAGCCACCGACTACGTGTAAACAAGTGAGCCTGGCTGGTTTCAAGAAGACTTTATGTACGGACACTGAAATTCAAATGTCATGTCATGGGGCGCCTGGGTGGCTCAGTGGGTTAAAGCCTCTGCCTTCTGCTCAGGTCATGATCCCAGGGTGCTGGGATCGAGCCCTGCATGGGCTCTCTGCTCAGCAGGGAGCCTGCTTCCTCCTTTCTCTCTCTCTGCCTGCTTGTGATCTCTGTCAAATAAATAAATAAAATCTTTAAAAAAAAATGTCATGTTATTTTCACAGGTTAAAAGATATTTTTCTTCTGATTTTTTTTTTTTCCCAACCACTTTAGAAGTGTAAAAACCTTTCTTAGCTTTGAGCCATACGAAAACAGGCTGAGAGCTGGATTGCCCCCATGGATCAGTTTGCCAACCTGTGCTCTGAAGGATGAAACTTTAGAGCTTTCTTTCACACACTTTTTCCCCTCCTCAGGTTTTAATGGTATTTCAATGCCTTGAGAAATTTATTCTTCTCATGTGCTGCAGACATTTTAGCTGGTTGTGGTTTATCATGACAAAGGGTATTAAATATTTTGCCAGCCTAAGCTTTTCAAAATGTTTCCAAGGTAGGGACTTACACATGAGTCTCAGTTATAATTCTCAAGAGTGATTGCAACCCGTGATAATTCTGTTTTACCAACTGTGCTGTTCCTTGTGGTAGGATGCTTTGGAACTTTCCAGTTCAGCATTTGTAGGAAGTCACAGCTTATTTGTAGCTCATTCTGAATTCTTACTGTTGCATTGAACAGGTGTGGTCCCCTACCATGTACAGGGCACTGCACAAAGCACTGGGGATCAATGAAGAGATGGGCATTTGGGACTTTGGGAAATACTTTGAACTCTGTTTCCAGAATCAACGTTTTGGAGCATTGCTTAAGTTTGATGTTGTGATTTTTGGTTTTCGGTGTTGAATAAAAATATTACCTGCTGCTCTGTAATGCTGCTGGGCCTAATAAATTTTGGTCACAGGGTGGCATGGTTCTCTCAAAGGCTTCATTGTTGCCAAAATGGAAAAGAAAAAAAAAAAAAAGCTCTAAGGAAGGAGCATTCTTGCTCCTATTTAATGCTGAAGTAGCCTGGCTTTTTCTAAATTGGTTTTTCCATAGTGCATTATTCTCTTTTTCCTTTAAAAAAAAAAAATAGTGCATTATTAAGATTTAGATGTTACTAAACCTAGTGCTTTAAAATCTTTTGTTTATGGTTCCAATGTGAATTGCCTAATGTTATGATTGAGAGAGTAATAGTTAGGACTGTATTTTGTAGAATATATTTAATTTAGACACTAACCTCAAAAAAAAAAAAAAGAACGTGTAAAAACTAGAAAGAATATTTGCGAATTAACAACAGATATCCTCTTAGCAGTTGCAGAGTCACGGACAAAGGTACTGATACAAGGTTTTTATCTAATTCCAAGGATTTGATGGAGAGATAGCTAAAGAAGAGTAGGGATTCCAGATGGTCAGGAAACACATCACCGGAAAAGTGATTGTCCTGTCCTTGTAGAATAAGAATATTATCATAGACTGAGAGCTGAATGTGTTCCAAGAGTGTTCATGTATTAGCTGCAGGAAGAGGAGGTATTGTCTCCATTAATATAGTCAGGGACAGTGGGGTTTAGAGGATTTAAGTGAAGTCTTTGTAGGTTTGACTGGAGCCCAGGTGTATGCTCTTTGCACCCTGCCACTTCTGGGCTAGCTCATCGGAGACTCTCCCCGTTGGAGAATGGGGGGATTTGGCAGTGATTTCTAGGATATAGGACTGAGAGTTATTACTACCACTGGAACACGGCTCAAGGGCGCGTTCAGGCTATAAGGATGTAACTAACTGTTTAATATGCCTCCAACATCCTCTTGGCCTTGTTTTTGGATTCTTTTGGATTTCTTTTTTACCTGTTCATCAAGTAAATACCCAAACCAAACCTTCTTAGTTTACTCATTTGTCCAGCCACCTCCACTAAAACCCTCAGCTTTAAGGAGGACAGAGATCTTATTTTCAGATCATTTTGTATTCTCAGTGCCTACAGTACTTCCTGGCATGTAAGTGCTCAGGGTTTATATTTGTATAACATACTCGAATGGGACCCAGTTTGGATGAGACATTTGATTTTCCCTTGAATTTGATGTTTTGTGAAGACAGACTCCCAAGGGGAACCTGACTCTCTCTTTCCTTTCCTAGGGCGATTGTGTGGTTACTGTGTTGCTGGCTGAAGAGGACAAAGTTGAGGATGATGTAGTTTTTTACTTGGTATTTTCGGGTTCCACCCTCCATCACTGCACAAGTACTCGGAAGGTCAGCGCTGATACGCTGGAGACCATTGCTCCTGGTAAGTGTTGGGCAGAGTCTTCACTGGCCTTTCCTGGCTCATGCACACTTCTATTCTGTGTCCATTAATGTGGAGTGAGAAGAATGAATCAGGGCGATAGAATTCTTGTCAAATCTTTATGTTAATAATGCATTAGAATAAAGCGTTCTCTTTATATTTGCTTGTTCCACAAAAATCCGAGCCTCACTAGAAATTAGCGAAATAAAATGGTGTCGTAAGTTTAAAAGTAAAAAATCAGGATCAGCAAAAATATTAATAAAAATCAGGATCAGCAAAAATATTAATTTATGAGAACGTTGAGATTTGGGGAGAACTAAAACAGGTGGAAGATACACGTTCTACTGTGGTTCCCATGGTGTGACTGCAGATTTGAATTCTGAATATCATAGTGGCAAAAGTAAAGGTAAAACACAGTTAATGAGTACTTAATCACTGTTGTAATTATAGGTTTAACAATTAAAAGGGGAAGATAGGTAGTTATTAAAAATGCTTTACAGAAGTCAGGAAATCATTGCTACTTCCATGAGAAACGGCTCATAAGATAATGGCTGTCCCTTGCCTGTCTGTCCCAGCACCTGAAGGTGTATTGATTTGTGTTTGGAAGTGAGCTGCTTTCCTTCATTGACCTGGCTTCGAAGTTAACAGTTGACCAGTTTTCATCAGGATACAATACAAAGTAGGGCGCACTTGGGGGGAGCGCCTAAAAAGTGCTGAGTTAACTGTTTTCCTTTAGAGAGTGCAGTGGATTTACTTCTTACTAAACCATTTCCTTTTACCAGTGTTTTTACAGAACACTGATTCCACTATGTTGAAATAGACCGTGTGAAAAATTATTAGTTTATGAAGCACTTTTAATATCTAGTCTTGCTGGTATTGGTTCAGATTGCTGTGCCATTTGATATAAATGAACTTCATGTCGGATACCCACCAGCTCCTGGAAATTTTTCTGCAGTCAAGGACTGGGATTTAACAATTAGTTGAAAGCTGTATTTATCCTCCTGCTTGGCAAAAATGACATTGAAAAATATAGGATTTAAAGATTTTTGACAATTCCTATGAACATCTTCCCCCCACCCTTTCTCCCCCACCCCCCCAACAAAGTTTTAGAGATTGGAAATTCACCTGGAGTTTAGGATAGATACTGATTTCTTTCTAAAGCGTATTAAGTATCCTCCTTTGTAACTTAAAACGCCAATCATCTCGTTTCCTGTGATGTTTATCATGTCAGAAAGGCTTATCTGGAACTTGAGGCCTGCCCTGGAGCAGGTGCCATCCAGTATCACCCTTGCAAAACCTCTGTCCTGTGTGGGTGATGGTGAGAGACAGCTCCACAGGGGGTCAAGTCAGCCGTGCCTGGACTGGACTCTTACCGGGAAAGGAATGGTGGTAATTTTTATAAACTTACTCCTTCCTGAGTTAGAAACAGGTCAGGAGTTAAAGTTAGGGGGTGGTGCGTTAGGGTGTGTTCATGACTGCGTGTGCGCATGTGTAAGAAAGCACGGAGGTGGATGTGGAGGGCGCACGGAGTGCTGAGGGAGAGGACAGCTGTGGCAAGGGTGTTGCCCTGTGCCCTGGTTGCAGTCCTCAGTCACGAGGACATCTGCCCAGCAGCTCTGGTCCCTTTGCTGGCAAGGCCTTGCGATGAGGATGGGTGGCAGGCAGTTCCTTTTCTTGGCTTCACAAGCCCTCTGTACCTGTGTAACAGCCTGGGGCTCTGAGTTTGTTCCAGACCCTCTCTGAGCTCCAGCCTCCTTTTCCGAACTCTAGTTCCCATCTCTTCCCTTGCCTTTGGTTCCAAACCTTTCTGTGGGTCTCTGCACCCCTCCTTCCCAGTCACACCCATCTCTGGGTGTCCTTCTGTACTTACTCCGAGGACCCTTACCCTGCTGACCCCAGCGAACCAGAATGGATATGGTACTGTGCTTCTTTCTGCTAACTTGGAAGTTAGCTGGAAGTTAGCAGAAAGTTAGCAGAAGCATCCCTGACACACTTGGGTGGGGCCTGGAGTCCTAGTACCTGCCTTCTCCATTTTCCGCTAATCAACTACCCCCCTTTAAATTATGATCTCTCGCACCTCCTGTGTCCTCTGTCATGCTTGCAGGGCCCAACAACCTGTCCCCTTTTCACCCCACTTAGCCTGCATAGACTGCTCCTCCTTCGTGTTCATTTGGGCTGGTGGTAGGAGTGCTCGATCGCAGCAGAGGTGACAGAGGCTTGGAGTCCCTGCACAACCGTCCTGTACAAGCAGGCCAGACGGAATGTAGAGCCAAACTGTCACATGTGAACCTTTGATATGGATGCAGAGCAGTGGCAAGGTCCTCGCTGGTGAGGTAGGAGCTCTGTGAACTGTTCAAGCGGAAGGGATCCTGAGTACTCCCTGTTGCTCTGGTCACCGTGTGTGAGATCTTTCCACTGACGTGTCTTGTTAAGCTGCCGCATCTGCTGTAGTCATGAGTGGAGGTGTAGGGATAGGGGCGTTGAGGACATTGAGTTGATTTTGAATTTCTTGTTGATATCATGGAGTTAAATATTTTAGTCTAGAATTAAACTGCCTTAATCTGTTTTTAGGGACGTCTTAGACTTGTTGCTTCCCTTCCTTCCGCTCTTCACTGAGCTGTCTCCTTCTCGTGCCTTCCTGTCCACCTTGTAAAAAAACACAACAGCCTTCAAAGGGTGCCTGGGCGGCTCATTTGGTTAAGCATTGCCTCTTGATCTCAGGGTCATGAGTTCAAGCCCCCCATTGGTCTCCATGTTGGGTGTGGAGCCTACTTTAAAAAAAAAAAATACACAGTGGCCTCCTGTCTGTATTCCTTCTTGCCCTTCTCTGATTTATTTTTCTGCACTGCACTTACAAACTTCTAACACATTATATCTTCTGTTGATCTTATTTGTTTTCTACGTGCCTCTACTAAAGTCACCTTCATGAGGGCATAGACTTCTGTTTTGTTGGTGTGTGCTAAGAAGGCTGTCCTACGAATCCCTACCAGTTGATGGAAGAGCGTTTCTACTTTATCTGAATTCACCCCGGTTCTTGGAAGCCGTTCTTCTTGAAAGGCTGTGCACACACGGGTGTGTGCCTGTACACACACATGCCATTTCTTTTGAGAAAAATGCAAAAGGAGTTTGCTCTGGCTTCTTGAGTTGAATTCTTCCTTGCGGGTGGGAGCCCGTGTTCTCTTTCCAGAGCTACCTATGATGATTTGCGTCAGTTAGCTGCATTGATAACCTTGGATTTCCTGTCTGCTGTGGGCAGTGTCAGATTAGTCAAGATTCTCCATTGAAAGTCTGAGCTTGCTTGGTGCATCCCAGTCCCGGATAAGTCTGTTTGCAGCAGCTGCTGCTGGAGGCAACGTCATTGCACCCTTTCTGCTCACGTGTGGGATGAGCTCTGCCAGTCCTAGTCATTTGGGTTGACTCTGGAAAGAAAAAGAGCTTTGTGTCTTGTTCTTGGTTTTAATGTCATGTTTCATCCACATTGCTGGCTCTGATTTTTCTTTGAGTTCTCTGCATGTTTCACTGTCAGTGTTTTGTAACATTTTAGTTTTTACTAAAACCAGATGATTGATTGACCTTCAAAAGGCAACTACTTCTTGATGTTAGTCTGTAACCTTTTATTATTAGGGGGTGGAAGAGAGAAAGGAACATTTCTAAATTGTGTCCTTTAAATGTTTTAACTTCGGATATGAAGATTATTTTTTTCTATTTTCTCCCTTTCTTGCTTAATGAGATGTTTTTAATGAATTGTGTGTGTCTAATTATAAATTGTAAAGGCTTTTTTTTTATAAATAATCTTCTTGCCTTACCACCATCAAAAAGCTGTAGACATGATATCATTCCCCCTTTTAATAAAGTAAGGCCAATAAAAGCATCTTAGGGGGCAGTTAGGTGGAGACTTTGGTTTCTACTTTATTTGCTTTTGAATTGTTTGGGTGCTTTACAAAGTAATTTTTAATAAAAAACATTTTGAAGACGAAAACAATGTCCTCTCTTCTGAAAATAAAGCTGTCGGGTTCTGATTAACACGAGACACAGACAGACAAGCTATGTAATAAAATGTTACGTTCAAGACACCGATGCATTTTCTGGTTAAGAATGTAATTTGCTCTGAAATACTGCCTAAACTGCATATCCATCTCCAAAGACGAAAGGTATGGCCTTTGTAGTAGAGGAAAATACCTCCATTCTTTTCTCTTTGTATGAAACGAATCTGACTGCAAATCTCATCTTAACTAAACAGTGAGTTTCCTTTAGAGATAAAGCTGAGATTTTTCTTCAAAAGACTTGTGTGGGACTGGTAAGTAATGTAAAGAAGTCTGAGTATCCTTGGAAGATAATTCTTGAGGGATATGGAGTACTGCCTTATTATGTTCATTTTTATTAGCTAAATGTGAATTTAGACCCAGCAAACAATGATTTCAGAATGGAAATGAGACAGGATGTTCAGTGGACGCCGCACACTATTTTTATGCAAGGCTTTAGTGCAGGTTCTCTCTTTTCCCAGCATGTGTTACTTAAGAATATACAGCACAGGTTCTTGTTGGACAGGAAAACTACAAACATACATTGACCTAAAATTTGACCCAGCTCTTATGTTTTTCTTTTCTCACTCATCAGAGGGAAGGTACTATATATAGTAGATTTGTCATTTAAAAAAGAAAAAAACTTAATTGCTGTGATCAGAATTCCTCTCGGGCTTATTAAAAATCAGTGCTCACAGCCCAGGTCCCAGTAAGTAGCTCTACAGGTAGATCACGATGTATCACTCACTTCTTGTGAACCCAGACCTGTCTCTAGTAGCTGATGTCCAAGGTTGCCAGATTGAATTACACATTCGAAAAGAAGTTGTAGACTTTACACTGGCGTAATTGCAGAGTGCTGGACCCACCTCTGTGGCAAAGGAATCGTTACTTTTGTGTTGGACACTTTCTAACAGTCTTCCCTATTCTAAAACACTCCTGCTGTAAGGCTATCCCTAGACAGGTAGGATTATAGATTTTAAA